TCATGAAGGCCCAAAAGCAATGAAGCCAATTGATCCTGGACTGAAGCCTCTTAACTGTAAGCCAAAATAAGCCTTTCCTCTTTATGAGCTGATTAGCTCAAGTATTTCTTACAGTGACAGGAAGCTTACTAACATAAAATATAAGGCCAGCTGGTGCTGGTGGTTCATGCCTATAATCCTAGCTACTGAGGAGGTTAAGATCTGAGGATTGCGGTTCAAAGCCAGTTCGGGCTGAAAACTCACCATGAGACTCTTATCTCCAATTAACCACCAGAAAAACCAGAAGTAGTACTGTGGATTAAAGTTGCAGGGCACTAACCTTAAGCAAAAGAGCTGAGGCACAGTACCCAGGCCCTCAGTTCAAGGCCGACAACCGAACAAAAAACAAAAAAACAACAACCAAAAACCCCTATAAGGCCATAGCAGCATTATTCATTAAACCAAACTGTGTCCCACAGGTTCCTGAATGCTTGGTGCTATTTTGAGAGGTCACACAAACTTTAGAAAGTGAGGCCTAGCTGGAGGAAGGAGGTCACTGGGACTGTGCTACTGAAGGCTACACTTGCTCCCCTATCCCTGCCTCACTGTCAGCTTCCCATCCAGTATTAGGAAAACAGCCTCCTTCTCTTCATACTCCTGCTGCAATGATGTTCTGCTCATCAAGGGCCCAGAACCAACAAAGCCAACAACTATGGATTTAGCTCTCTGAAAGTATAAGCAAAATAAATCTTCCACCTTTTAAGTTGTTTATGTCAGGCATTTAGTCAAAGCAATGAGAAAGTTAACTAATTTATGTCAGGCATTCAGTCAAAGCAATGAGAAAGTTAATTAATGAATAATATAAATGTCCATTAATGGGTTACATTGTGGTATATGTATACAATGTTATATTATTCCACCATAAAATGGAATGAATGGGGCTGGAAATGTTAGCTCAGTAGTAGAACACTTACTAAGCATATGAGAGTCTCTGGGTTTAGTTCCAGGAGCTACACACACCCACACACAAAAATACTAAGTAGTAATATATGATAAACATGGATAAAACACTATGCTAAAGCTTAGAAGCCATGTACTATATAGTAAATAAATCCACAGAAATAGAGCAGACTGGTGGTTACCAGGGAAACCGATAAGAAATGCAGAGCAATCTACTTAAAGGGCACAGAGTTTTCTTTTAGGGTGTTGAAAGCCTTTTGGAAGTAAATTGAGATGGTGATTGCACAATGAAGTCATCATATTAAATGCTACTGAATTGTTCACTTTAAAATGGTAAAATTTACTAGCAGAAAGTGGTAGGGCACACCTGTAATTCCAGGACTCAAGAAGCTGAGGCAGGGCTGGGAAGGTGGCTCAGTGGTAGTGCGCTTGCCTTGCATGCCTGAGGCCCTGGGTTGGATTCCTCAGCACCACATAAGCAAAAAAAAAAAAAAAAGCCGGAAGTGGCGCTGTGGCTCAAGTGGTAGAGTGCTAGCCTTGAGCTGAAGAGCGAGGGACAGCACCCAGGCCCAGAGTTCAGGCCCACGACCGAACACAAAAACAAAAACAAAAAAAAAAAAGAAAAGAAAAAAGAAGCTGAGGCAGTAGGATCTTGAACTAAAGGCCAAACTCGGCTACATAGCAAGTTTGAGGCCTGCCCACCCAAGACTTTGTTTTGAGAAACAAAAAAAGTTAGTTTTCTGTTCTGTTATTTGAACTTTACTTGAAGAAAGAAAGAGGAAGAAAGAAAAAAGAATGAGAGAGAGAGAGGAAGGAAAGGAGGAAGGGAGGAAGGAAGGAAGGAATGAAGAAAGGAAGGAAGGAAGGGAGTGAGGGAGGGAGGGAGGAAGGAAAAAAAGAGAGAAAGAAGAAAAAGAAAGGAAGAAAGAAAGAAAGGAAGGAAGGGAAAGAACGAATGACGGGAGGGAGGGAGGGAGGCAGGAAGGAAGGGGAATGGGAAGACAAGAAAAGGGGAGAGGAGGGAAGAGAAAAATGAAAAGGGAAAAAATTATAAACACAACTCTATTGAAATACACCTTAGTCTAAACTTAAAGTGTATGATTCCACTGTTTTTAATGTAGTCAGAGTTGACAATAACCATCACTAACAATTTTGGAATATTTTTCTCTCTCCAAAAAGAAACTTTATGTCCATTAGCACACAGTAACTTCCCATTCCCTCCTCCTCCACAGCTCTAGTCAAGCACTAATCTTTCTCTATAGACTTGCCTATTCTGGTCATGACACAGAAATGGAATCATTTGTTATATGTCTATATTTTCAAGGAATCTCATTTACTTTTACTAGAAAGTCTGTGCCATGTAGAAAAATATAAGGGAAAATGGAGAATTCTAAAGGGCTGCTTATGAAAACAATAGTGGCAAGTACATAATACACCCAAAAAAGTGAAAAAAGTAAAAAATAAAGTACTTAAAATTGTGGCATGGTATACTCTCAAGGAAAAAAAGCATATTTGAAAACTGAACAAAAGTCTGATGTTGGAAGAAAGTTATAAACGTAAAAATATGTAATGAAGACTAGTCAGGGTATGATTTGTAAGGCAATCTTTTTCTTTTTTTTTTTTTGGGGGGGGTGCGGTATGTGCCAGTACTGGCACTTGAACTCAAGTTCTTGCACTCTTGCTTGGCTTTTTCATGCATAGCTGGCAATTTACCTACTGGAGCCATGCCTCCAGTTCTGGCTTTTTTGCTGATTAACTGGAGAAAAGAGGCTCTCCAATTTGTCTTCCTGGGCTGGCTTCAAACTATGGTACTCAGATCTCAACCTCTTGAGTAGCTAGGATGAGTAGCACTCTTACACTGTTAAGTCTCATGGTATGAAGAGTATATATAATTGAATACACAGCAGATGATCAGATGTTTTTTAATGAAGTTGACTATATGGCTAGAATCATATTTAATAACTTCCATCCTAAACTTTATTATCCTAAACAAAATCAAACTTTTTGCTGTGGCAATCTTTATTTGAACAGCAGCATAGAATGCTGCTGGTTTTCTGGTGGTTAATTGGAGATAAAGAGTCTCACAGACAATCTTGCCTGGGCTGGCTTTGAACTGAGATCCTCAGATCAGCCTCCTGCGTAGCTAGAATTATAGGTGTGAACCATTCACACCCAGCAGTTCATCTATTTTTACAGGCAAACAGGCTAAAGTTAAAACTAAAGTTAAAGTCCGGCACTGGTGGCTCATGCCTATAATCCTAGCTACTCAGGAGGCTGAGATCTGAGGATTGTGGTTCAAAGCCAGCCCAGGCAGGAAACTCCGTGAGACAGCTCCAATAAACCACTAGAAAACTGGAAGTGGTGCTGTGGCTCAAGTGGTAGAGCGCTTGCCTTGAGCTGAAGAGTGCAGGGATAGCACCCAGGCCCAGAGTTCAAGCCCCATGACTGACAAAAATAAAACACTAAAGTTAAATTTCTCAAGACATTGCATAACGGATCTCAATTTTCCCTGAAAACCATTAAAATATTTACACAAAGATAGACTTTATTATTCTAACTGTAAGCAAAGATTCCTGAAGTGCTTAAGTATTAAGTTCTAACTCATAATTTTGCCTCAGTGAGAAAAGACAACTTTGAATTAGCAAGGATAAAGAATGGAATTTTAAGCCTGGCTCCAGTGGCTCACGCCTGTAATCCTAGCTACTCAGGAGGCTGAGATCTGAGGATTGTGGTTCAAAGCCAGCCCAGGCAGGAAAAGTCTGTGAAACTCTTATCTCCAATAAACCACCAGAAAACCCGAAGTGGAGCTGTGGCTCAGGTGATAGCGCACTTTCCTTGAGCTGAAGAGCTGAGAGACAGCACCCAGGCCCACAGTTCAAGCCCCACGACCGACCAAAAAAAAAAAAAAAAGGAATTTTACATTACACAACTCTTAGTGGCTCTTACTACTAGAATGATGAATTCGCCCATTTGCTTCAAAAAGAGAACTTTCCCCTATCACCTCATAAACCCAATGAAAGTCTTAAGTTCTAGAGTTGCTTGACTCATTTAGATGAAGTCTTACACTGAATTGGAAAAATCTAATTATAGTCCACCTAACTCCAACAAGCAGACATGTCCACATCTACAGCTGAAACAAACCATTTTGGTAGCCAATACATACCAATAAGTTATATATGCTGCTTTCAAACCATATTTTTAATGTATTATCAGCAATTAGTTTGATACATTGAGGTCCAGACAAACCTAAAAGTTTTCTTTGCCACTTTTTCATTTCACAGCTAATGAGGATGGAAGTTTAAGTGAAACCTTAAAGCAGGCTGTGAGCCAGGTTCCAGTAGTTCATAACCTATAATTCTAGCCACTCAGGAAGCTGAAATATTAAAATCAAGGTTCAAAGCAAGCTTGGGCAGGAAAAGTCCCTGAGTCTTTTATTTCCAATTAACCATCAAAATACCAGAAATGGAGCTGGTGCTCAAGTGATAGAGCACCAGCCTTGAGCAAAAACACTAAGGGAGAGCGGTGCCTTGGCTCTGACTTCAGGTCCCAGGACCAACACATACACACAAAAAAGCATGCTAGTGATAAGATGTGACTGTGTGGACTTCTGCAGCAAGGTTCTTCATTTCTTTCCAATGAGCAATAGATCAATATTAATCATTAATCCTCAGCTCCCCTGTCCCCAACTTCATAGACGTCCCTCACATACTGAAAGTAATCCTTCTTCACATAAATCCAACCACACCCACACATATACATAGCATCAGGTCCCAAGTCTCCCTCCCACATTGGCACAACAGTCTCTCAACTTTCTGGTTGCTGATCAAGGACCAATTCTTCATCCTCCTCCTAATCCTGCCCAGACTTCACACTGCCTACAATCTCTTTTTCCCGTTCTTCCACAACGCCAACTCACACCAAGTCCCTATTTCCCTCAACTTCAGACAGCGTTTTTAAAACTCCATACACCTTTCCTCCCTGCCCACTCCCCACCCCCCACCCCCAACTCCGTGTTTCTTATTCTTGCCTTTGTTAGTAAGGTCTGGGAAAATCTCACTCACCTCATGCTATAGGCACCAGCACCCAGTTCCTGGCCGATCCCAGACAGGCTAGCATCAAAGTCCTGCACCAGCCCAGACTCAATCACTTCATCGGCCAGAGGCAGCTTCAGAGCCCAAGCCATCCTGGCTCCGCTCTTGCTCCCGGTGACACCGTTTCTTCTATGTACAAAAGCGCAGAACTTAATCCTACCCCCAAGGGTTCAAGACAGCATAAACTACAAACGAAAATCACACCTGTAGTCCCCACCAGCCACCACCACCACCACCACCACCACCCCAAAAAAAAAATCTGCCCTGCACAACTCCACAACTAATCTCGGGTACCCTTGGCACCTTAGTGTTGGGTGCCCGGGCTTCTAAGAGTCTCCGGCTCCGCTCCCAGGGGCGTGGGGCCTCCCTCGGCTTCACTATTCCAGACTCCTGCACACCCACCCACTCCCCAGGGTAGCCTCCGCAGCCCGTCCGTGCTGGCCCAGTCTGTCTTCCTGAGCAGACCCGCAGCAGCCACAAGCCCAGCCGGCAGCGCCGCTTTTGTACCTTTACCTCCGCCCCCTTCGACTAGAATCCTCCCCTCTCCCGAGACCCGCACTTTTCCCCTCCAGGCCTCACTTCCGGTCAGTCCTAAGAGAGCTTCCGGTCACCCCTTCTCAGCCCCGCAGCTCTTAGAAATAAATCCAGGTTCCTGCTGAGTCGTCTCCTCGCCCTCTGCAGCCCCCCTCGACGGCCGGGAAACCCGGACAGGAAAAAAAAAAAAAAAAGTCCAGTGCAAGATTGAGACTCGTCAGGCCCCTTCACTGGCCCGCCGCCTCACCGCCAACCAATCATGGCGCCCTCTACCTTTGCTGGGCCGGCAAAAAAACGTCATCCTGGCGATAGCCAATGAGAAATAGACTTCATCAGCCTCTACAGCGATGATAGGTTAGCTCCTCCACAGCTCCCCGCCCCCGGAGGCGGGCCGAGAGGTCTGGATTTGAAGGGCTTCTACCTGAGTGGAGGAGGCGTGGGCTGCGGGCCCAGGTCAACACCCTGACTCTGAGTCGTGACACAGTCGCGCTCCCAGCGGCTCTCCCACCCCTAGCGGGAATTCGTTTGCCCAAAGGTTCCCTATTCGTGTACGTTTATTCATGCTTGGCCTCTTGTCTTATTAAACTCACATCTCCTAAGGGAGAGACCCTGCTGAAGACCCAGGTCCATTGATAAATCATTTTGTCCTGAGCCTTCTCCCCAAGGCACTTGGAAAGAAAAACATGAGGTTGAAAAGCAAACGAACAAAGTAATGTGGCTTTTCAAAGGTGATGAAGGAGGCATGTTAGAATTTAGAAGATCTGAAGATCACAGCTGGGGCTGGCATCTTCACGTACTAATTTGGTGACTTCCAGAATAGTCACAAATGGAGCTGTGGCTCAAGTGCTCTATCACCAGCCTAATCTAAAAAGGAAAGTGAATGTAGGCTGAGGATCACAATTCAAAGCTAGCCTGGTCTGAAAGTCCATGAGACTCTTAACCACCAAAAAGCCAGACGTGGAGCTGTGGTTCAAGTGATAAAAGAATGAGCGTTGAGCAATAAAAGCAGCAGTGTCCAGGCCCTGAGTTCAAGCCCCAGTACCAGCACAAAACAAAGTAACAATAGCCACATATTCTCACTGAGATTTTAGCTTCCTCAGTTGTAAGCAGATAACTATACCTGCTCCACAGCATTCACTGGCTACTTACCTTGTCATCCTAGTTTCATGAGAAGCAAGAAGTGGGTGAGGAAATAGTAACAATAATAATAGTAATAATATTAATAGTAAAAACAAAAATGTCTGGAGGTGTAGCTCAGCAGTAGAATGCCTGACTACCAAGCATGAGGCCCTGAGTTTATTACCACAAAAAAAAGGTATATTCAGTTGTCTAGGTGAAAAAAAAAAAAGTCAGTCATGTGCCTTGAACTCTAGGCCTGGGTGCTATCCCTCAGCTCTTCAGCTCAAGGCACTCTACCATGTGAGCATAGCACCACTTCTGGTTTTTCTAGTCATTTATTGGAGATAAGAGTCTCTAACCAGGCGCCAGTGGCTCACGCCTGTAATCCTAGCTACTCAGGGGCCTGAGATCTGAGGATCGAGGTTCAAAGCCAGCCCAGGCAGGAAAGTCCATGAGACTCTTATCTTCAATAAACCACTAGAAAACCAGAAGTGGCAGGCACTGTGGCTCAAGCGGTAGAGAGCTCGCCTTGAGCTAAAGAGCGCAAGGACAGCACCCAAGCCCAGAGTTCAAGCCCCACAACCGACAAAAAAAAAAAAAAAAAAGAGTTTTCCAGCCTGGGCTGGCTTTGAACCTCTATCCTCAGATCTCAGCCTTCTGAGTAGCTAGGATTACAGGCATGAACCACCAGTGCCTGGCTCAGAAGAAAAAAAAAATGTTTTTGGTCTTTCGTGGAGCTTGAACTCTGGGCCTGGGCGCTGTCCCTGAGCTCTTCAGCTCAAGGCTAGTGCTCTATTGCTTGAGCCACAGCGCCTACTTCCGGCTTTTTCTGTGTATATGGTGCTGAGGAATCGAACCCAGAGCCTCATGCATGCAAGGCAAGCACTCTACTACTGAGCTACCTTCCCAGCCCCAGAAGAAAAATTTTAACTGTGCCACGTTTAGGAAAATATTTAGAAAAAGAAAGCCAGGCATTGATGGCTATTGTTTAGCTATTACTATTCTTTTTTTTTTTTTTTTTGTCGGTCGTGGGGCTTGAACTTTGGGCCTCAGCTCTTCAGCTCAAGGCGAGTGCTCTACCACTTGAGCTACAGCGCCACTTCCGGTTTTCTGGTGGTTTATTGGAAATAGGAGTCTCACGGTCTCTCCTGCCCTGGCTGGCTTTGAACCGCGATCCTCAGATCTCAGCCTCCTGAGTAGCTAGGATTACAGGCGTGAGCCACCGGTGTCCGGCCTAGATATTACTATTCTTGTGACCAAAGTAAATCCTAGCACCTGTCATATCTACTTAAATCACTTTTCTCTAAGACTTAAGGACTTGAGGACTTGAGGAATCATCATCTTCAGGTCAGCAGCCCCTTTCCAACCCTCAGGCTTCCCTTCTTACTCTATTTGCTCAGGTTAGTATTGCTGGGTGCCTAGGTCAATACCTGGCACTTTCCTCCAAGTACAGGAAGAAACCATAACCTGGCGGGCTTTTTTGAGGTTGACCATCTAGCCTTAAATCTTATCCTCTTCCTGTAGTCCACCCAAGGAGCCTCTGAGGGCCAATTAGCTGCTTTGAAGGACCCTGTAGTTGAAAGAAAATAAAATCAGTAATTTTCGCAGCTACACAATTCCAAACAATCTCAAGTTCCTCTCCTCCCTTGTCTCTATAGTCCAGAAACCAGCCCACATCTCTTCCAGTTCATACAAAGTCAATTCCTTTCAACCCATCCACCTAACAATGAACTTCCCCAAGCCTATTTCACCTACCCCCTTCTCTAAAATCTTCCTGGGCCAACTGCCAGGAGCCACCCTTAACTGGTCTTAGCCAGTAACATCAGCTCCCAGAACTCTCCTGATGGGAACTGCTAGCTCCGTCTCTGGCCAGATTCCATTCACTATCACATTTCACAATCTAAACCCTGCCTAGCTAAGCAGAATCCTTGCCCCTGCTCTCTCAGTAGCCTAAACCTAGGCTTATTATTCCCTTAAATGAAAAGTAGGAAATGCACCAAGCTCCCCATCTGACAGTTATTAAGCATCTCTTCTATGCCCTGGCCTGTGTACTGAAGTGTCACAGTCCAGCGTGGATTAGCATATCAGCACTGTGAGATCTATGCTGGCTGGGGTAAGTGCTGGATTCTAGTTAATATTTTGTCTCAATAGAGTGTTATAAAGCTTGTGTCAGTCTTAGACATCCATTAACACCCTGGGTGGAAGCAGGTTGATGACACATAGTGTAGAACCCAGCACAGTGTCTAGCACAGAAATGCTGGTTGGGTAGAGAAAAAGGGAATGCCTTGTTTGGGAGACAGGACACTATAAAGGAGATGGCATGAACCCATGCCTAGGAGGTAGACCAGCCAACAGAGAGAGAGAGAGAGACAGACAGACAGACAGACAGACAGAGGAGAGAGCAAGCTTTGTGAAAGCTATACTCTCTCATCAATAAACTCATCTTCAGTCTTGGGGGGAAATGCAAATGGAGATTCATTTACCATACAGCTACATCTTTTTTTTTTTTTTTTGGTCAGTCATGGGGCTTGAACTCTAGGCCTGAGCTCTATCCCTCAGCTCTTCAGCTCAAGGCGAGCACTCTACCACTTGAGCCACAGCACCACTTCCGGGTTTCTGGTGTTTAATTGGAGATAAGTTTCATGGACTTTCCTGCCCAGGGTTGGCTTTGAACTGCCATCCTGAGTAGCTAGGATTACAGGCATCAGCCACCCGCTCCTGGCTACAGCTACATCTTTATAAGGAGCTGTATAACTGGGCATTTATGGCTCATACTTGTAAATCCTTGCTATTCAGGAGGCTAACATCTGAGGATTTGAAGTTTGAAACCAGTCCAGGCAGGAAAATCCATGATCTCCAATTAACCATTAAAAAAAAATGCAGAAATGGATGTGTACTCAAGTGGTAGAGGGCCACGCTTGAGTGAAAAAGCTAAGGGACAGTGCCCAGGCCTGAGTTCAAGCCCCAGTACAGGAACAAGAAAGAAAAGAGAAAGAAAGGAAAAGAAAAGAAGAAAAGAGAAAAGGAAAGAAGGAAGGAAGGAAGGAAGGAAGGGGGAGAGAGAAAGAAGGAAAGAAAAAGAATGAAAATAAGAAAGAGAGAGGGAGAGAAAGAAAGAGGGAGAGAGGGAGCTGGGAAGGTGGCTCAGTGGTAGAGTGCTTACTTTGTATGCATGAGGCCCTGGGTTTGATTCCTCAGCACCATATAAGCAGAAAAAGCTGGAAGTGGCGCTGTGGCTCAAGTGGTAGAGCGCTAGCCTTGAGCTGAAGAGCTGAGGGACAGTGCTCAGGCCCAGAGTTCAGACCCCATGACCGACAAAAAGAAAGAGAGGGAGAGAGAGGAGGGAGAGAGAGGAGGGAGTGAGGGAAGAAAGGATGGAAGGAGAAACAATATTAGAACTGTACAAATCAAGCTAACTATTCATGTAGATTTCTACATATCTAGATTAAGTTGTGGTGATAGAGCCCTTAAAAAAGAGGTCTGAGGGAACATGTTTGCTTTTTTGCTTTTTCATCATGTAAAGATGTCTATGTTGCATCAGACACTAGATTACCAATTTCTTGATTTTTTTTTTACTTCATACTCTCCATAACTGTGAGCAGTTTATAAACTACCCAGTCTAAGGTACTTTGTTATAACATTTGCTTGCTTATTTCCATTGTGGGGCTTGAACTCAAGGCCTGGGTACTGTCCCTGAACTCTTTTGCTCAAGGCAAGCTCTCTACCACTTGGAACTATAGCACCACTTCCAGTTTTCTAGTGGTTAACTGGATATTAGAGTCTCATAGACTTTACTGCCCAGGCTGGCTCTGAGCTGAGATCCTTGGATCTCAGCCTCCTGAGTGTCCAGGATTTATACGCATAAGCCACCAGCACCCAGTTCCAAAGAACTTTGAGACCTGTAAGTGTACAGACCGTTAGCAGAGTCTGCCAATATTATACCCAGAGAAGAGGGTACAGGAAATGAGTTTAGCAGAGGATTCTGGAGTCCTTGATGCCCAGAATGTAGCCTAGAAGTAAAAAGGGGCACACCCCCTTGGGCCTGCAACCCCATAAGGAGGCCTGAAACTGAGGGCCAGAGCAGGGGCTTCTGAAGTAGGATGACAGGACACTGACCCTCATGATTTTGCAATGGGATTTTCCAGGCTGCAAGTTCACAGCAAAGGCAGTTTCCTGTATTTTCCAGGTCTCTAATACTGATTCCTTATGTTTCTACCTTGACAAGTGACCAAGAAACAAGCAGAGCAGTACAAAAGAAAAAATACTGTTTATTCCACACAACTACATCAAGTACTTGTCCTCAGTTCTCCCCTCTCCCCACTCTTGCCTCCAGCCTTCAACAGGTGTTGCTCAGTACTGAGAAACAGTTAGAACATCAAAACCTGGGCGGCAGGAAAGGAAATCTGGGCATGGGAATGTGATTGGATTTCTAAGAACACCAAAACAACCAGGTTTATCATTCCATCCTCAGTGTGTTACTCAGTCCATGTGACAGAATTCTTCCCTGGACTTTGCCTGCCTAGATCGTGCAGGGTTCAAAGGCTCCAGCTGATTCAGCAAGTCATAGAAGTTTTGGTCTCTCTTAAAACAAGCAAATCATACAGTTAAACCATTCCTGTTCCTTCTCTTGTCTTTTCCATTCTCATTTTAACCCTGGCAAAGAAGCCACAGAGCTCTGAAGTAAGTCCAGAAAGATACTTTCAAAACAAAACATCTATCAAGTCCCTGATGGTGCCCGATGGTATGAAAAACAACATGAACTGCCTTGGGCAAGTGGCCCAGGTCCCAGATGCTTCACAGTGGTCCTTTGTGGGGAAGTTAGGACCAGAGACCATAGGTGAGAGAGCTCTGCTTTGGGAACATTCTTTGGGCACCTCCATTGGGCCTTGGGATTGTTCCTCTGGTTTAAGATTAGTTCAGCCTTGGGAAGACAGATTCTGATGAGGGAGGGGCTGAGAACTTGTGACTCAGCCTAATTTAGACCGGTGGTTCATGGGGTTTCGTTTTCCTGCCATGCCACAGGACAGATGGTGTCTTTTTGCACACCCTGTATTAGATGCTACTTCCAGGACACCAGCTGTGACCCACTTGTCTCCCAGAAAAAGAAAGCACTACTGAGTGCAAACATTTGTGCATGTCCCTAATTCACTGAAATATGAGTCACTGACTCCTTGACCAATTCTGGCACTGTTGATAATTCTTAATGAAAACTTGTCAACAATACCCCTCCCTAGTGGGCTCTTCATCTCATATAGGCAGGTTGATAACCATGACCTAGAGGGTGAAGTCTCCCTCCAGGAGATATATTCTTTCGGAAGGTTGAGTGAGGAAGCTGTCCACCTCTCTTTTCACTTCTACCAAACTCTGGAAGGCTTGGGTGGTCCAAATGGAGCATGGGGATGAGGGGCAGCTGCTAGAAACTAAGCTCTGGGACTGTGCTCCTTTGTGGCACAGCATACACAGCAAAATCTGGAGAATCTAGAGTCACATAGGACATTTTTTTAAGCATGTGGGAGGGAACCCAGGTTGTTGTGCATTGATTGCTAGGTAAGCAATCTACAACTGAGATGCCTCCCCAGCCCAATCCTAAAAAGCTGCCTAGCCATAGTGAGGCTGGAAACTCAGGTTGGATGCAATGCCCAACTCTCTGCCATGGCTTCTCCCTCTAGAGGAAAACCCTTTCTACTCTGGAGCTTTCTGAGGGGGGATGGTGAGTGGGGAGGAGACTGCTTACACACATGGTCTATGACTCTGCATCAAGTGAGATTTCTTCCGTCCCCAAGGTTTAAAATTACAAAGAACATTATGCTTAAGTCAGCTTTTACACAAGACTTCCTCAGGCTGCCATCCATGCTTCCTGGATTGTTAACCTTCCCTTAGTGCCTTGTTGTCTGTTTAAAGTTCCCAGTATTCATTCCCAGTTGGGTATGAGAATAATGATAGAGAGAAAGCATTCTTTTCCTCATTTTTTTTTTCCTCCAAGATTGCTTGCTTGCTTAACTAGGGTAATGTTTTCCAACTCAAACTCTTTTTTTGTGTGGGCAGATGGCCATGGGCAGAGATTAGATTAAAATCTGGAAGGATGGGCTTATCATTACGAAATTTCAGGACAGCAGCAGACCCAGGCAGCAGGTAAAGTTCACTGCTTGCTTCCTTCCAACATGGATTACACAAGAAAAAGATTCTATTGTAATGTCATCTCCTCCATCAAATGAACCACAAGAGGGACTCATGTTCTGTCCCAAGCTTTGGAAACCTTCTGACCTTCTACACTTTGATAAATGCATCTCTTGGGTTCTTCGAGGGGTTTAGTATAACTGTATGCAAAGTAGGAGAGGGCAGTGTGAGGCTGGATGAATTGTTTTAGCTGCCACAGTAGCACAAAGGAGCAGCAAAGGAGAAAGGGTAGGTGCGTAGAAAGAGAATGTCATCAAAAACAAGAGCTAATGCCAGTGGACCCCAGGAGGTACTACAGCCCTGCCCCAAAGGTGGGACATAGAATTTGCCCTTCGGAAACCATGTCTACAAAGTGCTTCTCCAAGAGACACCACAAATACCCTCCTTCAGAGTGCCTAGAGCCCAGAGCCTGGGGCTCTCATGTGGCCCTGTCTCTCTGCCTCCCAGGGTGTGAGAGATGTTGGGGGAGAAGAGGGAGGCACTGACACACATGCACGTGGTGAGGCTCATGACCTAGGGCCAGCACAGCTGCACGTAGGACTGTCAGGGCAGTGACAACAGCTGGGTGCTGAGGGGAGTACAAAGTGCTGAAACACAGGGCTGGGGGCTGAGCCCTAGGGAATCTGAAAGACGTTCAGCTTGCTGGTGTTCTTGAGTGTCTGGCGCCGGTTACAGAACCAGACCCGCACTACCTCTCGGTCATAGTTGAGCTCCTTAGCAATCTCTGTGATCTCCTGGCCAGTGGGCAGTGGGTTCTTCTCAAAATAGGCATTGAGAGCCTCGATGGCCTGTGGAGTGAAGGAGGTGCGGCGTTTGCGTTTCTTGGAGGGCTCACCTCCCACAAATTCCATCAGATTCTGCTGGCCTTCCTGGTTCCGAAGTTCAGCCTCGTTCAGCCACTTCTCCAGCACTGGTTTCAGCTTCTGAGCACTCTTGGGTGTGATATCCAGCTTCTCAAACCTGCAAGCAACACATGTCCAGCAAGGGACAGAGAGAGTGTCTCAGTCTGTTTGGCATACCCCATATCTGGATGGAAGTACTACCCTCACAAGCTGGAGAGACTCTATCCAGGGTACCCTTACTGCCCCTACAGCACTACTATCTCTCTGGTTCAAGCAAGCCCAGACTCCTCTGTTTCCCAAGTGCTAGCAGGCAGACCATGCCCTGGGCCTCAGATGGGCAAGGCAATGACAACAGTGCCCTAAACAACAGGTCCAGAATGTTCACATCCAAATGAAGCTTGTGAGGAGTCATCCTGAGTAGCCTGTAGGGGTCGCCAGTGTCACCAGTGTCACACATGACTTCAAAACTCACAAGTCAGGCTGTTCCTTCTTGCTGAGCACATCATGGAATAGTCAGCAGCAGCAGCAGATGTAAACATTCAGCCATTAGTGAGCCATTTACTTATTTCTGTTTGAAATTCTAATTATCTCTCTGCTGGTTCTAGCATCAAAACGAGTTTGCAAACTGCACACAGAAAAACCTAGCCCTATCACTTTCTAGTTATACCTTACATGAGGGAGAGGTAGGGCGTGACAAGAATATTGTATGTAGTTGAGGGCCAAGAGAAAACTCCCATTTTTGTGTTTCATGTTCGAAAATAGCTTTCTTTTTCTGTGTGTGTGTGTGTGTGTGTGTGTGTGTGTGTATACCAGAACTGGGGCTTGAACTCAGGGCCTTAAACTCTCACTTGGCTTTTTTTTGCTCTACCACTTAAGCCACAGCTCCACTGCTGGCTTTCTGCTGATTATTTTGAGATAGGAGTCTCACTGACTTTTCGGCCCAGGCTAGCTTTGAACCAGGGTCCTCAGATCTCAGGTTCTTTTTGAGCTAGGATGATAGGCATGGGGGCACCAGAATTGGGCTTATTATGAACTAGCTTTTGTGCTACAATTTCTGAATAGATTTGGGCCCTAGAATGTCTGAGTCAGTCTTTGGCTGCTGCAGTAGTGTCCATATCCATCCTTAGACTAGACTTCCTTATCTGGAAGGAGACAGGATGGTAAGAAGGAGAAATGTGGAAAGAAGCTGGATGCCCTGGTCCCCATGAGTGCCCAGGGGCAACAGGCCCTGAGCAGGCCTCATGACCTTCTCCAGGGCAATCTTACTCACCGACAGATGGCAGACTGGCTGTAGGCTGGTCCTTCTGTTGCAGTCAGAGCCTGGCCCACTTGAGTCTGTGTAAGGCCCAGGGAGAGCCGCCGGATCTTAAAGTTCTTGGCAAACTCCCGGATCTCTTCCAAGTTGATCCCGTCCTCATCTAGACTGGGAGTATGCGGCTCTAGGCCAGAGGAAGGGACCAAGGATGACTGTATCAATGGGAATCAACTCAACCTATGTGGCCCATTTGCCTGGGCTGGTTCAGTGGTGAGGGATGAGGACATCTGTCAAAAGGCTGTATACCTTTAAGACTCCTGCCACCAGGACAAGTAAGACTTGTGGACAAGGGCCCTGGACCACTGTATTGGGAGGGGGGGGGTGTAATAAGATCTATTTAAGTTCCAGCTCTAACTGCTGGCCTCCCTCATGCTCCCTAGTTCTGCCCCAAGCATAGCTTTTGGCCATCCACATTCCTCAAATACTGAGTAAGAGAATGCAGTAGAGATAGCCAATGGTTTGGCGTCTCTGAAAAACAACCAGTCAGGAGCAGCCTTCACTAATATGCCCAGAATCCCGCCCAATAGGAATGGGAATAACAAAGTCAAGCCCTCACTTTAGGCCTCTTCCCTTTCCTTTGGAACTTCAGGAACCTCCCCTCTCCTTTCCATTCCCTCCTTCTCTCCCTCTTTCTTTCCCTCCCTACCTCCCTCCCTTCCTTTCTTCTTTCCTTCCTTCCTTCCTTTTCTTTCTCTTTCTCTTCCTTCCTTCCTTCCTTTTCTTTCTCTTTCTCTTCCTTCCTTCCTTCCTTTTCTCTTTCTCTTTCCCTTCCTTCCTTCCTTCCTTCCTTCCTTCCTTCCTTCCTTCCTTCCTTCCTTTTCTTTTTCTTTCTTTCCTCTTTCTTTCTGACAAGGTCTTGGGGCTCACTATGTTGCCTAGGTTTGCCTTGAACTTCTAGTCTCAAGAGATCTCCTGCCTCCGTTTCTGGTACAACTAGGGTACAGGCCTGGCACCCAGTTCTAGGTAGTTTATTAAGGACAGCAGTATCTGAGGAGGTTGGGTTCCAACACCCCCCCCCCCCCCCCCCGCCCCGGGCAATTCCACATTCCTCTACCCAGAGCCACTTACTAGACACCAACTGGCTGACTGTAGGAGTCTCTGAGCAGGTGATGGGGATAGGAGCAGAGGCAGATGGCTTGGCTGCTGGGGCGGGACTAGCAATGACCACAGCAGGCTGGGGTACAGCTGGTGAGGGCTGGATGGGCTGCACCTATGAGAAAAGAGAAAAGCCTCTGTTGGTCTCTGCCAACTCAGGAAGTAGAAACTCCTGGGTAGAGCACAGGCAGGACAGAAATGGGTATGAGAGTCTCACTCACCTAGCACATTCCTGTGACCTAACAAAAAGCAAAATTAGCCGATGTCTATGAACACACACACCATGATAATGACCTTCTAAATAATCACCTAAATGTAACACCTGAGACAAGCCACTAAGAGACTCAGAAAAGTTGAGTGTACATGGTCAAAGCCTCAATAAATAACCCCCTCGGGCTAACTCTCTCACATCCCTTCTTTCAAAAGAGAAACTTCAACCTTATTCTAGGCTCTGAAAATCTAGGAGTAGGAAACTGATAGGTAATTACTGGGACCTTCCCACAATGAGAGAGTATGTAGTCGTTAAAAAAAAAATTGGGCTGGGGAGGGGGTAACAATGCTCGACAAGAAATGTACTCATTGCCTTAATCATGTAACTGTAACCCCTCTATACAGCATCTTTACAATAAAATAAAAAAATTTAAAATCACAGAAAAAAAGGTAAGGCTGGAAGCTGGGTGCTGGTATCTTAGCTACTCAGGAGGCTAAGAGCTGAGGACTGTGGTTCAAAGCTAGCCCAGGCAGAAAAGTTCATGACAGTCTTATCTCCAACTAACCACAAAAAGCCAGAAGTAGAGCTGTCGCTCAAGTGGTAGAGCACTAGCCTTGAGTACAAAAGCTCATAGGCAGCACCCAGACCCTGAGTTCAAGCCCCAGGACCAGCAAAAAAAAAAAAAAAAAAGTAGGCTTGAGATGGCCTAGAGAGAGTATCTGCATCATGCAGAAGACCTTAAGTTTGATCTCTAACACAGACCCAAAAAAAAAAAAAAAAAACTACTTTGAGTCATAGTGCTAAGTGAAAAAAGAAAGATGTGAAAAAAGAAAGGTTTTATGGAATTTGCCTTTAAAATATTAAAATACTAATTAAAATATTAAAAATTTAAAATACATATTAATTTTCATGAAATAAAATTGAGAAATATAAAATAAGCTGTCAACAGAAGTCATCTTTGGAGGTAGAACTAGAAGGGATTTTTATTTCTTCTTCTTTTTGGTAGTAGTATTGGGGATTAAACCCAGAGCTTCATTCATGCTGGGCAAGTACTTTTCCACTGAGCTACATACCAGCCCAGCGACTTTAACCTAGAGCTAGGGTTCTGTCCCTAAGCTTTTTTCTCTTTCTTTCTTTCTTTCTGCTCAAGGCTAGTGCTCTACCTCTTGAACCATAGCTCCACTTTTGGCTTTTTGGTATTTAATTGAGGATGAGTCTCACAGACTTTCCTGTATTGGCTGGCTTTGAACTATAATCCACAGATCTCAGCCTCCAGAGTAGCTAAGATTACAGACATGGGCCATCAACTGCTTGGTTACAATGCCTCTTTTAACTAGATACTTTTACAATATCTATTTTCAGATAAGGCTAAGTAGTTATTTCCAAAGCTTAGAAGCAGCATACAACTTTTGAGGACCACTGATCCCAATGGCTCTGGGAACTTAGCACATTCTTGGCCCCATTCAGACCTATGGAATAAGAAAATAGTCTGACAAGCCCTCCAGGTGATTCTGATGCACAAGTTTGAGAAGCATCCATCTAGTTTCATGTTCCTGTTTCATTCTCACCTGACCCTTATCTGTCAGAGCTCGCTTTTCTGGGGACCCAAAGGACCTTAGCCACACCCCTATGCTGAGCTACCTAAGGCTAACAGGGACATTTTAGTCTTTTTTTTTTTTTTTCGCCAATCCCAGGGCTTGAATTCAGGGCCTGGGCACTGTTCCTGAGCTTCTTTTGCTCAAGGCTAGCACTCTACCACTTGAACCACAGAGCCACTTCTGGCTTTTTCCATTTATGTGCTACTGAGGAATTGAACCCGGGGCTTCATGCATGTTAGACAAACACTCTACTATTAAGCCACATTCCCAGCCCCATCATCTTTGTATCTTTAGTACTTGGAATATAGTAAGCCCTCAAACAATGCTTCTGGAATGAGGAAAAAATAATCAAAGCCTCAATATAAGGTAGTGGGGGAAAGGAAGCAGAAGGGGTACAGAATAAACTCCTGGGGCTTTTCTGCCAGTTTGTTCATTCTGTAGCTCAATCAGACCAGTCCACTTTGACTACCTGCAGCATATATAGATTCCCATTGGCTTCTACTTGAGGGCTTTCCTCACTTTTGCAAGTGTCTTGCTCCCCCAGGAACTTTAGAAGCTGCTCTGCTCAGCAGTCTGAAGGGAAATAACCATTCCCTCCCTCCCCCGAACCCCCCAATGCCTCCATCCCTAGTACCTCACTCTTTGCTGGGGACTCTGGCGTGCTTGGCTTCCGGACAGTCACAGGTGGAGGCAGGGGGCTGCTAGCCAGAGTCGCAATCACCTGGCCCTGGGCATTTAACAACAGTTGAGGGGTCACAGCCTGGACCTGCAGGCTTTGAGCTGGTGCTGAAGCTGCCACACTAGCTGAATTCACCACCCATGGAAGTGTTCCAATAACCTAAGAGGAAATAAGGGAGGGGCCCCAAGTATGAGGGTTGTATCCAACCCACCCTCAGCCCAAATCCCCATACTGGCAAAAACTAACTTGGACAAAACACTTAAGCCATCTGGCTGTTTTTCTCATCAACAATCCACCCTGGAGGCTCCTTTATTTCATCCTCAGAGCTGAGGTACAGCTGGAGTGGGACTGTTTGTGAGTCAGAAACCTGAATGTTAAGTCAGTACTCTTAATCTTCCTTCCTTTTTCTTTGTCTTTCCCTCCTTCCCTCCCTTCTTTCCCCCCTTTCTTTCCTGTACTGGAACTTGAATTCAGGGCCTAGGCATTGTCCTTTAGTTTTTTTTTTTTTGCTCAAGGCTGGCACTCTACCACTTGAGCCACAGTTCCACTTTCAGCTTTTTGGTGATTAATTAGAGATTAGAGTCTCCTGCACTTTCCTGATCACCCTGGCTTTGCACTACAATGTTCAGAGCTCACCATCCTGAGTAGTTAGTAGCCACTAGTGCCCAGCTTAACTTAGTATTTCTGAATCTTGTTCTCTCCAGTAAAATAAAAATCTCTACCAAATAGATCTGTACTCAAAACAGTGAGATAAAATATGAGAAAGCACCCAGCACAAAGCCTGTCCATAGATAAAATCCTACAAGCAGAATGAGTGCCTCTAGGGGACGGTGGTGGCTGGCCCCAACATTAGCTGAGCCCCAACAGCTAGGGCCTTCAGCTTGACTCCCAGTTTGAGTTTCTAGGATGCTTACTTAGCCCAAGACCTGGCTAGCTATTCCACAGCACCCACCCTCAGCCCTAGCTTTCACCACTTGCCTGTCCCTGAGCATTGGTGAGGATCTGACTGCTGATCCCTGGCATGCCGGGAATGGTGTTGGTAATGACCGGAGTTGTAGTGAGGGAGCCCAGGATCTGGGTCTGTCCCCCAAGGGAAGCAGCACTGATCTGTGGGTGGAGAAAGAGCCTTGCTCAGAGGCCAAAAGGGTGAAAAGAGACCCAGACAGAGGGAAGAGTGCAAGGACATTGTTGGGGATGGGGTGCATAAAAGAGGGTTGCAGGTCTAAATACCTAGAACTAGGAAGGGGCCACTGGGGGCAACAGGGAAGGGTAGGGCCACAGTCATAGAACAGTAACTCTTGTTTAATCTTTCCAGCCAGGCCTGGGGGAGTAGAAGGGCCAAACTGGAGAGGCTGGTGTGCTCTTAGTCACATCTGGCAACCCCACTGCTAAGCCAGGAGCCACATTACAAAGACACTAGCACAGAGCCGTGAGCCACCAGCTGCACCTTAGCGACAGCTCACAAGGTTGTAATCCCTAGACATCCCACCCTCCAAGGCTCATCCAGTGGTTCAGGTTCTGGAGAATTTGCCCAGGCCTCTTGGTAGAGGGTTGCTTGCTTTTGTTTGGGTTGGACAGGCTGACAGCTGTAAGAAGACCTCAGAGGGAGCCCATCTCTGCTGGTGTTGGAAAGGGCTGGATTCAAGGGGCTGGTCCTCCTCTGTGGGAAGGGTCACTTCCACCCGTAGCCCTAGCTTTGGTCCATCCCTGGTTAGCCCTGGGTGAGGGCAGCAGCTTACGATTCCTGGGCTAAATGCAAAGCCTGCAGGCTGGACGGTGATCTGTGGGGTGGTATCCACTGGCTTGGGGGGAGGGGCAGCAGCAGTGGCAGCAGTGGGCTGTGGTATGATGGCAGGCGTGGTCTGTAGCAGCGGCTGGGTCTGGAACAACGTCTGGGGCTGGGCTGGTGGCCGGGGCTGGGCTGGTGAAGCAGCCTGGATTGGTGGGGCAGCTTGTACAGGTGCCGGAAGGGCGGTGTTCAGCACAGCAGTTGCTATGGAGCAAGGCAGAGACAGAGGTGCTCAAGTGCCTAGCCATGGCCCAGAGTGGCTCCAATCCCATCTGGCACAAGAATGACAGGGGGCTGGGGCAGTGGGCATGGGAACAGGCAGTTGTAATTCCTTGGATGCTTGAAGGCCTGATGCATGTCAACATCTTTCATTCCCACCCCCCTCCCTTGGGCCAGTAGATTTGTAGGTTCAAGAACTAGATGTTGAATCTTCTTCTCGCAATCCTTCTCAGGAGGCTGGTCATGGGTGAATTCTAGCATGGGGAAGAGAGCAGTCTCAGGCAGTTGGCTGAAGAAAGAAAGGCCTGCTGGCTGGCTTGGTGTCCTGGCCTAGAGTCCCAAAGTTGGTGCTGTGGCTCTGTGGTTAGATGCCTGGAACACTGGATCCAGACTGCAGGGCTCTTGGCCTGGGTGGGCCTCAGGTTCTGAGTCCAGCACGGCAAGTACACGTGCAAGGGTGGAGTGTGGGGTGGCAGGGCATCTGGTGCAGTCCTGGGGAGAATTGCCGTTACCTTGGAGACTGGCTAAAGGTGGCTTGAAAATTCCCCCCGGAGGAGAAGCAGCGGTCAGTCCTGGGAGGGCAGCCACAGTTGCTGTAGGAATTGTCCACACGGCCAGCCCCTGCTGCCCAGCCACTTGACCTGCAATACTGATGGGGATAAGAAGAGGTTGAGTAACTGCCCCTGCTGGAACCATAACTCCTGTCAGAACTGTGGCTAAGTTTTCCTGAGTCAAGACCTGCAAAAGCAAACAAGATTTCAAAAAAGAAAAGAAAAGAAAAAAAAATAAAAAGAAAAAATCAACATCCACAGAGCAAACACTGGTCTCTCAGACCCAGTTGAGCATAAACAATTATTCTGAGGGCAGTGAGGGAAAAGGCCACAGGAGGGTGAGGAAAAGGTTTCAAAGCCTAGATGGAGGCCTCATCCTGAGGGGTGCTTGCCAGATTATCCTTGCCTATAGAACCAGTGATTTGTGAACAAAGAACAAGAGAAGAGGTGCAACTAAGCAGTCCAGGGTCTGCAGAGGCTTCCAAGAAGTTCTGATGGAGAATACTGTCTTTGCTTGGATGCCTTGGAGAATCGTGCATAGAGCAAAGGTCACCAGGACTGCAGGATCCCACACACAGCCTCTCGCTGTGCTAGAGATGTTCCCTAGCTCTGCATGAGGACTCTGAACAACCCCTTAGCTCTTCCAAGCATGAAAGAGATCATGTTATTTCTACAAGGAGATTGCCCAACAAATGCACATCTTCTTTTCCAGTGGGCTTTATCTTAGGCAGGGGAGTCTAGTAGGTAGCCTCTGCCTTATACTGCCTCACAGTTTCTCAGATCCCATAGTTCCTTCATGCCATACTCCTGCCCACTGCCCTCTGTCCAACTCCCTAGGGTGGCCCTTACCTGGGGGGCAGCTTGTAGAGCCAGTGGCGTCAGGGTCTGTGATGCCTGAGGCTGGGTTTGGGCTTGGCTGAAGGTGGCAATGGCAGGGGCAGGACTCGGAGGGATTCCCGGGAGTGATTTCACTTCATGTGGAATTGAGAGAAAGAACAAGAAGTGAGGGGAGGGGTGAATGGAGTAGAATATCTTGCCTGCAGCCGGAAGTGGTAACTTCCAGCCCATGTTTATTTCTTGTATAACAGAATACTAGTTGCTGGCTTTCTCTGACCCATGAAGCAGCTTTCCCAGTGCTGCTCAGTGTGAGACTTCAGCTGGAGAGCCCTGGGTCAGACAGGAAAGATAGGCCACCTTCTCTTCTCATCTGCATAAAATACATGTCTGTGCATAGCTGGGTACCAACCCCTCATTTTCTGGCTCTAAAAGACATTGTTACATTGTCACAACCTGTTATACAATCAGCAGGTCAGGGAGGTAAAGTGCTAGAATTGATGAAAACAGCAAAGGGGAAGTCAGCCAGCAACCAAATTCTTCATCCCATATTCAAGCTACTTTTGGATACAAAAAGTGCTGGTTTAGTTGGATGCCTCTGACCTATGCCTATAATCCTAGCTACTTAGGAGGCAGAGATCTGAGAATCTTGGTTCTAAGCCAGCCTGGGCAGGAAAGTCTGTGAGACTCTTATCTCCAATTAACCACCAGAAAACCAGAAGTGGAGCTGTGGCTCAGAATGATAGAACACTAGCCTTGATTGAGAAAGCTGGAAGTGGAGCTATGACTTAAGTGGTAGAATGCTAACCTAACCTTAAGCATAAAAGCTCAGGGACAGTGCCCAGGCCCTGTGTTCAAGCCCCTGACCAATACACACACACACACACACACACACACACACACACGGACAGTGCCCAGGCCCCTGACCAACACACACACACACACACACACACACACACACACACACACACACACACACGGACAGTGCCCAGCCCCTGAGTTCAAGTCCCTGACCAACATACACACACACACACACACACACACACACACACACACACACACACACACAAAAAGCAGGGACATGGAAATTCTTACAGGGCCAAGTTCCTGAAATTGGATATGACTTTACCAAACTGCAGGGTCATAGGAGCTCTTTATGCCAGCCAGCTTTTCTCTGCCTTCCTTGAAGTCTGAAGTCAAGAAGACTTTTTAGCCAGGCACTGGAAGCTCATGATTTTAATCCTAGCTACTCAGGAGGCTGAGATATAAGGACTGTGCTTCAAAACCAGCCCAGACAGGAAAGTCCGTGAGATTCTTATCTCTAATTAGCCACCAAAAAGTAGAGGTATGGCTTAAGTGGTAGAATGGCAGCCTTGAATGAAAAAGTTAAAGGACAGCACCCAGGCCCTGAGTTCAAGCACCAGTATACTCCTCTTGCTCTCCTTCTCCTTCTTTCTCTCTGTCTCTGTCTCTGTCTTTCTCTCTCTCTGCCAGTCCTGGCTCTTGGACTTAGGGCCTGTCCCTGATCTTTTTTGCTAAAAGCTAGGTTTCTATTACTTGTGCCACAACTTCACTTCTAGCTTTTTGGTGGTTAATTGGAGGTAAGAGTCTTAAGGACTTTCCTGCCTTCACTTTCCTTCAAATCACGACCCTCAGATCTCAGCCTGATAGGGATATAGATGTAATCCACTGGCAGCCAGCTTATGTATTTATTTGTAAACATTACGGCTTTGAATATCTTTGATTGGTCCTTTTTTCTTTGTGGTGTAGTCCACTGAAATTCCTTTTGAGGAGAAATCAATTGTTGACATGGAAGGAAGTCATCACAGGAGGGAGAGAGAGAGAGAGAGAGAGAGACTTTCTGCAGAACAAGACGTCAACTTCTTGATACGGTGTTTTATTCAATGATGAGAAAAGGGTGGTCTATGGCTGGAGCAGTGTCTAGGCCCATAGCTTAGCTACAGTTGCCTCACATCTGTACTGTAGGAGCATCTAGTTCATACCCTAAAGTCATCTTTGGAAAAGGACAGCACCGTAAGTCTACTGAGAGGAGGGAAAGGCATTTTCAGGGTTCTAGTTCATCTGTCTGTACAGTCTGAGGAAGGTAAGATGTCCTTCCATCCTCAGCTCCTGGAACCTTCCAGCTCTAACATAAAAATGATTGAGTTTGAAAGGGTTGGCTGGTGACTCACATCTGTAATCCCAGCTACTCAGGAGGCTGAGATCTGAAGATCGTAGTTCAAAGCCAGCCTGGGCAGGAAAGTCTGTGAGACTCTTACCTCCCATGAACCACCAGAAAATTGGACATGGTGCTATATAGTTCAAAGTGGTAGAGCACTAGCCCTGAGCAAGAAAGGTCAGGACAGCACCCAGGCCTAGTTCAAGCCCTACAACTTGACAAAACAAAACAAAAAGAAAGAAAGAAAAGAAAAGAAAAGCCTCCATCCTGAAGGTTCAGGCCTCTCTGCATTGGACCAACACTCTGGTTTGTATCTAGGAGCACACTGAGGTGGATTCAAATTTTTATCTATCTATCTATCTATCTATCTATTTATTCTTGGCGGTTGTGGGCCTTGAACTGGGGGCCTGGACACTGTTCCTGAGCTCTTCAAGACTAGTGTTCTACCACTTTGAGCCACAGCGCTACTTTCAATTTTCTGGTGGTTAATTGGAGATAAAGGTCTCACAGACTTTCCTGCCTAAGTTGGCTTTGAACTGCAATTTCAGCTCTCAGCCTCTTGAGTAGCTAGGATTACAGGTGTGAGCCACCTGCACCGGGCTAGATTCAAATTTCTTAGGATAGTCCTCACCAATCAGTGGATCCCAGCTTTGCTCTGACAGTGATTCAAGGAGAACTCAATTTCAGGAACAAGGAGGATGAAATAGCCCTGGAGGCTGGCTAGATGCACAGACTGTGGTCACAGGCTATCCAGTGAGCAGGAAGACAAGGCTGTAATGCCACATGGGTCCCCAGGACTTAGGCTGGCTCACCAGGAAACTGCAGAAGGGACCCAAGGGGAGCAAAACCACATTGGAGTAATAGCCTCATACCAGCTGCATCTGTAGGGGGGTCTGGGTTGTTTGGCCCAGCTTCACCAGTGTTTTCTCTGGCTTCAGCAGGGTCTTGGTTCTGGGAGCCCTCGGTAGCCACACCCTCCAGTCCTTTCCCCTCTTCCTCAGCCGGGAGCTGGGCATCCACTCCAACTTCCAGCACTCGGATGGTCTCATGGCCTGACATCACGATGACCTGCAAGCAGAGGAGGATGGGAGACATTGCTAGGGGAGGGGGAGCAGCAGGAGCTCTGGGTATGGCTGGGGGAAAGAGGAGAGGGCAACATCAGGATGCTCACCTCCTACTCAGAGAGGACTGTGTCCTCAGGAATCATCAGAGCCTTGGCCAGGGGAGAAGCTACTAGAACAAAACAGTGCTTGGAGATAGGAAGAAGGGCCTGACAAAAACAGAGAAAAGTCTCACAGAGCCAAACCATTTGGGAGATATTCTTCTTTGCTCTGTGGGACGTAGTGCAGGCAATGGGAAATGGCCTTATACACAGCTTGCAAAGACATCTTCTTGGCTGCTAGGATACTGGAATGGTGGCTATGTAGGCTCCTACCACAAGCTGTGTGTCCACATTTTAGGTTGGGCCATGAAACAAATCCATCTTTACTTTTCTTTGAAACCCCCTAGAAGTTTCCCAAAGACAAGTGGATGGAAAAAAATTAGGGCTCCATAATGATGAGAAACTTTTTAAAGCTCCTGATACCATTATTTTCAAAACTCAGATAAGGGGCTAGAATTTTCCTGCAAACTATATTCCTGAAAGAAGGAACTGGAATCCTGAAGATGCAGTCTCTCCTGCCTCACCCCTGCACGGACCCTCTGAGCCAGGCTTGAGGTCCCAGGGAACATGTTCAGACCACAAGGGCCCCTCCAAGAGCCTGTGGTGTGGACAGTCCCGGACCTTTCTTTCACTGGGGTTTCTGCTCAAATGCCAGGCTCTTTTACTCCTCCCCACACACTGAAATGCTGCTGTTAGGACCCTTCAAGAATCCTGGATGAACTCTGTACACTAAAAAGTTTGTAAGGATTGGAGCCAGTGGCTGACGCCTGTAATCCTAGCAATGCAGGACACCAAGATCTGAGCATCAAGGTTCGAAGCCAGCCTGGACAATAAAGTTCAAAAGACTGGGAAGGTGGATCAGTGGTAGAGCGCTTGCCTTGCATGCATGAGGCCCTGGGTTCGATTCCTCAGCACCACATAAGCAAAAAGAAAAAAGCCGGAAGTGGTGCTGTGGCTCAAGTGGTAGAGCGCTAGCCTTGAGCTGAAGAGCTGAGGGACAGCGCCCAGGCCCAGAGTTCAGGCCCCACGACCGGACCCCCCCCCCCCGAAAAAAAAAAGTGTCCCGGACTTCCTGCCCAGGCTGTCATCAAACCATGATCCATAGATCTCAGCCTCCTGAGTAGCTAGGATTACAGGCTTGAGCCACCAGAGCCTGGCTTGCTTGATAGCTTGCTCACTGTCTCTTTCTTTCCTTCCTTCCTACATTCCTTCCTTCCTTCTTCCTTCTTTCCTTCCTCTCTCTCCCTCCCCCCCATGTATGGGTGTGTGTGTGTGTGTGTGTGTGTGTGTGTGTGTGTGTGTGTGTGTGTTGGTTCCAGGGCTTGAACTCAGACCAGAGCCTCACACTTTCACTCAGCCAGGTTGCAGCTGGTGCTCACCCATTTGAGCCATACCACCAGCTCAGCTTTTTTCTGGTTAATTAGAGAATCTCTCTGATTTTTCTGACCTTGCTGACTATGACTGCAATCTTTCCGTCTCAGTCTCTGACTAGCTAGGATTACAGGCATAAACCCAGCTTTTAACTTTAATCTTAAAGTCAGTTTAAGTCCCAATCTCAGCCCCTGAGAAACCCTAGCTGGTAACTCCCTCTACATAGGTGAAATGACTATGAACTTTGGTAAGAACAACAATGGGGTCTTCCTTGCCCACACCCCTTGCACCATAACCCTCACCACCCCTACCTCTTTTGGTCCCAGAACATACCTGCTCATTGACAGTCAGAGATGACTCAGACCCAGCTCCAGGATCCATGGTCACTGTAGGTTGGGGTGGGCACCAGCCCACACCTAGTGCATCCTGGGTAAGATGGAATTGGAAAGGCAAAGGCTGATGTGACACAGTAATAATACAATTTCTAAAAGAGTTAGAAATAGTATGGTAGGAAGATAGAGAAGAGAAATGCTCCCAAGTTTCTGGAGAAGTAAAGGGAACAGGAGTCTTTTTCTTTCTTTCTTGTTCCTTTCTTTTATTTTTTGGTACTAGAGTTTGAGTTCTTGCTTAGTTTTTTCTGCTTAAATTTCTACCATTTGAGCCACACCTCCACTTCCAGCTTTTTGGTGGTTTATTGGGGATAAGAGTCTCAGAGCCAGGTGTTGTTGGCTTGCGCCTATAATCCTAGCTACTCAGGAGGTTAAGATTGGAGGATTATGGTTCAAATACAGCCCGGTGAGTCTCTCCAATTAGCCAGGTGAAAGCCAAGAGTGGAGGTATGGCTCAAGTGGTAGAGCACCAGTCTTGAGTGAAAAAGCCAAGTGCAAGGCCCTGAGTTCAATACTCAATACTCTCTCTCTCTCTCTCTCTCTCTCTCTCTCTCACACACACACACACACACACACACACATTAAAAAAAAAGTCAAATTTGTTTGCCTGAGCTGGCTTTGAACTCAGATCCCAGCCTCTTGAGTAGCTAGGATTACAGGTGTGAGCCACTAAAAAAAACTTTAGAGTTTCACTTCCACAGCATGCCAGGCAAATAAATCCACACTCAGGAGGAAGCAAGGGTGATCAGAGCCAGACATTTGTCCCAATTTCTCCAATCTAGTGGGAGACAGTATACCCAGCAGAACCCAGAGTGAATCTGACAAACACTTAGAACCTTAGATAAGATAAACAGCACTCTGGGTTATCAGAGTACTTTCTTAGAAATCTGGGCAGGCTTCCCAGAAGAGATGGTAAAAACATTAACCTATGGTCTCTAGCTTTAATATGCATGATTGTTACTTAGTCAACTTACTAAAAAAATGAAGATCTCCAGCAAGTCCCTTCCCCCAACAGGCCTTGGGGTTCTACATAATCAGCTCTTAGATAATCCTGTGGCAGTGGCCCAAGGACCAGAGTAACACGCACATAGGAGGTTGAACATCTCCAATAGTGGACCAGCCTGCTATAAGCAATGAGAAGTGACCGAACCCTGTGAAGACAGGTTGTCTGTTTGGAGCCACAAATCAGAATCACAAAAACTAGAGGAAATAATAATAACGGGGGCAAAGAGGTTTTCACATGCATACAGAAAAGAAAGCAATTAGCATTTCATTTGAGAATTGACTATGGGCTATTTTATATAATACTAATGGATGTATCACTCAACTCCAGAGGTAAGTGGTACATAGTAGGGGTTGGAGACATTGTTATAACTTTGTTAACAGTTGAGCAAACTAAAGCCAGAATGTTCTGGATTCCTCGTCTTCCTATTCTTTTTCTTCCTCGGAGGTTGTTTTTTATTTATTTGTTTTGTTTTTGGTGCCAGTACTGGGGCTTAAACTCAGGGTCTAAGTACTGCCCCCTAGTTTTTTTGCTCAAAGCTGGTGCTCTACCACTTGAGTTACAGCTCCACTTCTGGCTTTTTGGTGGTTAAATGGGATTAAGAGTCTCACGAACTCTGATGTAAAAAAATTTTTTTAGCTGGGCACCAGTGTATGTGTGTGTGTGTGTGTGTGTCTGTGTGTGTGTGTATCAGTACTGAGTTGTGAACTCAGGGCCTTGCACTTGGCTAAGTCCTAGCTACTCAGGAGGCTGAAATCTAAGGATTGTAGTTTGAAGTCAGAATGATAGAGAAAGTCTGTGAGACTCTTATCTCCAATTATCCATCCAAAAGCCAGTGGTTCAAGTGGTAGAATACAGCCTTAAAGAAAAAAAGCTCAGGGACAGTACCCAGGACCTGGGTTCAAGCCCCAGTAACTGCACCAAAACAAAACAAAACTTGTTCCCAATAGACTGTCAATTTCAAGACAGCAGGGACCTTGTGGAGTTAGTACCCACTCCTCCTTCATAGCAGAATTATAAAGAAATGTACCACTTGATAAGGCCCTATTATAATTTTATAGTGATTAAATCTGTTTTCATGTTCACAATGCAAACTTCAGACAGAAGAGGCTTCCTTTGAATTGTTCAGATAGGGCCTTTGGTGGGTATTTTTGTTGAGTCTAGGAAGGAAGGAATTAAGCTGTAGAGAACATAGACAAGGAAGATCCAATCACAGAAACAGCACCCTAGTCTCTGCCTGCAGACTCAGGCTACCAAGATAAGGAGGAGAGGGATGCAACCACGTGGGCTGGGGTCCGGCCCTCTACTTTGCGAAGGAGGCATCTCCAGGAGCAGACTAGGCCAGGATCTCTGCTCAGAGACTCTGGTCCGTGGCCCAGTTAAGCTTCTTGAGGGCTTTTTTATTTCCCTGGCGCAGCGGCCTAGGCTGTTCGGTAGAGGTTAATAAGCTTCAGACCCCAGCCCAGAGGGAGATCTCAAAGCTCAAGTGAAGGTCAGAAGCCCTTTCTCCCTCCCGGACCCCCTTGGCCCTGCCAGGTGTGAATGACCAGGGAGAAGTGATTGAGCCATTTTGCGACTAGCATTAATAATAATATTGTGATGAAATATTTATGAGGTGCTCAGGTTCTGGGCACCCAGGTCTCTAACCCGGGAGTCCGGCCCGTCCTCGGGGAGCAAGGTGGTGACAGGTGGCCCTGGCTGACTCCGGGTGGCGGCAGTCACCGGGAATCCAGACATCCGGGTTGTCCTGGGGAGACAGGATCTGCTCACGATCGCCATGGGGGGGGGGGTGTCTGTGGATAGAGCCCCCCTCCCCTGTGATCTGTACCCCACTAGGGCTCCAAGGGCAGAAACGGGGAGGGGCCTGGGCCAGGTTCCCTGGCCGCGTCCACCTGGCGGCCGCCCCGCCCTCCTGCCCGAGCTCAGCCGGGCGCGGCCCCCGGGGGTCGGCGGCCCCAGGTGGGCAGCGGCGCGTCGCCCCACGCCCGAGCTCCCCACCGCCCGCCCGCCGCCCGGGCCCCGCATCCCGCTGCCCCGGGTCCCGCGGCTCCCCCCCCCCCGCTCTCTTTATCATAAATATATAAATTATGCTAATTACGGGCATTGCATATTAACCAAACCCGAAACCTCCCCTGCCCGGCCCCCTCCCCCCTCCGTGCAAACCCCTCCCCGCCCCGGACCCCGCTACTTACCGGAGCCCGAGCCGCCTTCGCCCCGGGTGCAAAGCGGACACCGGTTACAGATCCATCTCACAGCCCGGGCCGAGGGACCGGGGCCGGGGGCCCGGGCGGCCGCCGCCCGCAGACAAAGAAGCCAGTGCGGCTGGGCCGGAGCGCGACTCGGCCCGAGAGTCGGTCGGGACCCGCCGCCGCCCCCGGGGCCCCCCGGGCCAGGGCTGGGCAGAGCCGGAGGGGGCTCGGTGGGCTGCAGCCGGGCGGTGGGGCACGGCCGGGAAGCGGGACGGGGGCGAGGGGGGGAGCTAGGTGTGTGGGGGGGCGATCAGGTATATATTTTTCTGCTTTCCCCCTTCCACAGCCCCCCCGATTTCCCTCCCACCCCCCCTTTTTCCCTCCTTCTGCTACTTGGATTTTTTTAGCTGCTGCGTCATGAGCATAATTTATGCAAAGAGCTTTGCCGCATGCTGCACCGCCCGCGCCGGCCGCCGGGGGCGGCGGTCCGGGAAGGGAGGGGACGGGGAGCCCGGAGCCGGGGGTGGGGGTGGGGAGGGACCCACCCCACCTCCCAGCTCCCCGCCCGAGGTTTTCTCGTGGGTCGGTTGCTCTGCTCCCTCCGAGGTACCGCAGGGAGGTGATTTCATTTTGGAGGGTGCAAGGACTGGAGCGCGGGAATCCGAACTGGGGCTGGAGGGAGGAAGGGGGGGGAGACACCCGAGGTCACCCTCGCTTTAACGGAGGGGTAGATAGGGAGGTGACCGAGATGACTTCCAGCTTTCCTCTCTAGGTAATCTGCCCCTTCTCCACGTTCGAGGTCAAGTTCAAGTCCACTTGGCAACAGCTGCTGTGCCCTAGCTCTCCAAGCGCGGGGGGGGGGGGGGGGGGAGCGAGGCCCTGGATGCTCCCTCCGTCCCTCTCCCCCCACCTCCTTCACCCCACTGGCATTGTGGCCTGCTTCCCTGCCCTCTTGTCCGAGAGGACAAGATGCAAAGGAAAGACAAAGTGTAGTGGGATGGAGGAAAAGCGGTGTTCTGCTTGGGTGGCCTTGCTGGTGATGAGGAGGGTTGGGTTTATCTAGTGGCTATTGAAAACAGGGAAAGGCCTGGGGGGGGGGGGGGGACGGGGGACGGGGAGGGGAGCAGATTTGAGGACCAGGGAAACGCAGATTGGAGAAGTAGTGGAAAAGAAAAAGAAGGAAGAAAAGGGGAAGAATTGCGGAGGGAGGATCCTTAAGTGTAGTCAGCCTCGTGGGGGTCTCCTTACCGCGCCCTCATCTCCCTATCCCCCTTGGTGGTCCATGATGAGCTTGAGGCAGGTGGTAAGAAGTAGTGTGAGAGAAAAAAGTGGAAACCAGAGTCCTCCCCACAGGTTCCCCTAAGCCCCTGTGGTATCAGGAGGACTACAGCAGTGGAGGAAGGAAGTGGAGGGGCTGCGGCAGCTGGACCATGGACTGACTGGTGTTTAGGTTACCTGGTGCCTGCTCACGCCCAGAGGCTCTCCCACAGCAGCTTGCCTTGGGAGGCCTGGCATCATCACCATGTGCCTGCTTAGAAGAGATCAGATTTCGGCCTCCTGGGCAGGTGAGGAAGTAGCCTGTTGGTAGCCCACAGGTTAGCAGTCAGAAGGCTTAAGTTTTAGTCTAAGCTTTTTGCTACAGCCCAGGCAAATAATATAATCACATTTCTTATAAAAGGAGGGTTGAGTGCAGCATCTCATCCCGCTAAATTTTTGCTTGATTCCAAGAGTCTCAGCCTGGGCAACTAAGTGATATCCTCATCTCAATAACAAAAAGAGAGTTGGGAACTAGTGGCTTATGCCTATAATCTTAGCTACTCAGGAGGAGGCTAAGATGTGAAGATCATGGTTCAAAGCCAGACTGTATGTGTAAAAAAGTATTACCTCTGCAATAGTTTGAACCTAAAACTCTATGTGGCATGGTTTTATAGGTCCCCCCCATCCCCCCCCAGGCTTGAACTCAGAGTTTGGGCACTTTCCCTGAGCTTCTTTTACTCAAGGCTAGTGCTCTATCACTTGAGCCACAGCTCTACTTCTGGGTTTGTGCTGGTTAATTGGAGATAAGAGTCTCACAGACTTTCTTGCCTGGGCTGATCTCAGTCTCCTGAATAGGTAGATTTACAGGCATGAGCCACTGGCAAGCCCAGCAAGAATGTAAATTCTTTTGGTTGTTGTTGTTTTGGCCAATCCTGGGGCTTGAATTTAGTGCCTGGGCTCTATCCCTGAGCTTCTTTTGCTCAAGGCTAGCTCTCTACCACTTGAGACACAGTGCCATTTCTGGCTTTTTCTGTTTTTGTGCTACTGAGGAATTGAACCCAGGGCTTTGTGCATGCTAGGCAAGCACTCTTACCACTAAACCACATTTCCAACCCAAAGATTGTAATTTTTTTTTATAGTAGTGGTGTGACTTAAATATCTTTGTATTACCTACCTTTCTTGTGAAAGTATGGCTATTGAATTTTGTCACATGAAGGCAAAAACTCCTATATATAAATAGGTCAAAGGCTCTGGATAACACAAATGCCAGAGGTATTGTAAAGAAATAAACATATAGATGTGATCTGGGGAGCTATACATCAAAATGTTCCAGAATCCTATTTTGTTTTTGTTGTTGTGGAAATAAAGGAAAACTTTATTGTTATTTTCCCACAGTACTGGGGTTTGAATTCTCGATCTTTTGCTTGCTAGGCAGTCAGTCTACTGCTGAGCCATGCCTCCAGCCAGAGTAAACACTTTTTTTTGACGGTCGTGGGGCTTGAACTCTGGGCCTGGGTGCTGTCCCTCAGCACTTCAGTTCAAGGCTAGCTCTCTACCACTTGAACCACAGTACCACTTCCAGTATACACTTTTTTAAATTAAGATTTTTTAATTCAAATTAGTGACTATTAATTATATAAAGGGGTTTCATTGTAATATGCCTATATAAACAGGTAATATACTTGGATCAAATTCACCCTATTACTCTGACATTCCCATTTAATAATAATTTTAATGTTTATTATTCTATTTTCTTGCATACATATAAAGTACTTTGATCTATTCAAACCCCCAATCACCCTCTCCTTTCAACCACCTACCTCCTGTTGGTCCCTTTCACAAATGGTCTTTCTTCTTTTAAGTCTAAGTTTCACATCTGAGAGAAAACATTCAATAGCTGCCTTTTTGAGTTTGGTTTATTTCAATTAGCATGATGATATCCATTTACCTGTTTAGTTCTTTTTAGTTGAATAATGTTCCACTGCTTGTGGAACTTTTTTTTTTTTTGTCGGTCATGGGGCTTGAACTCTGGGCCTGACCACTGTCCCTCAGCTCTTCAGCTCAAGGCTAGCGCTCTACCACTTGAGCCACAGCGCCATTTCCAGTTTTCTGGTGGTTTATTGGAGATAACAGTTTCACAGCTTCTCTTGCCCAGGCTGGCTTTGAAACAGAATCCTCAGATCTCAGCCTCCTGAATAGCTAGGATTACAGGCATGAGCCATCGGTGCCTGGCTTGTGGAACATTTTATAAATCCATCCACATTTTTAAGATCCATTCATCAGTTGATGATGGGCACTTAGGATGATGCCAGAGTTTGGCAGTTAAACAGAGGTATGTTCTGGTATGGTACAGCTTGATTATAGGATAGTTATATTTTTGGTTCTTTAAGGAACTACACTGATTTCCATAGTGACTGCACTAATTTACATTTCCAACAGTTTATGAGGGTTCTTCTGGCCCCCAAGTTTGCCAGCATTTGTTGCTATTTATTCATTGTATACTCTTCTGCATTGCTCCTATTTGAAGAGCATATATACCCTTCCTTTCTTCTTCTTTTTTTGGTCTGAGACTGGAACTCAAACTGTATACCTGAAGCTTTCACACTCATTGGCTAGCACTCTACCAACTGAGCCGCATGTCCAACCCCATCCTTTCATTTTTCACTGGTATTTAACATGTACAAAGTAAGTATGCATTTTTGTTGTTTGGCACATTTATTTACTTACTTATGTGAGAGTGGGTACTGGAAATTGAACTCAGGATTTTTCATATTGTAGACTATCCCTCTGGCTGGAAAAATGTAATTTTATTTTTAATCTACACATAGAAATCTACACTATGAATATAGTGTGTTTCCAGACATATAAACAGTGTGTAACATGATCAGATCAGAATAATTAACGCATCTATCTGTGATCTATCCCCTCAAACATTTTGATACAGTCTTTTTTTTTTGGTTGGTCGTGGGGCTTGAACTCTGGGCTTGGGCACTGTCCCTGTGCTCTTCAGCTCAAGGCGAGCACTCTACCGCTTGAACCACAGCACCACTTCCGGTTTTCTGGTGGTTTATTGGAGATAAGAGTTTCATGGACTTTCCTGCCCAGGCTGGCTTTGAACCGTGATCCTCAGATCTCAGCCTCCTCAGTAGCTAGGATTACAGCTGTGAGCCACTGGTGCCTGGCTTTGATACAGTCTTTTTTTAAAAAAAAAATTTATGTGTACGTGCATGCCAGTCCTGGGGCTTGAACTCAGGGCATGGGTGTTATCCCTGAGCCTCTTTGTACTCAAGGTTAGCACTCTACCACTTTAGCCACAGCACCACTTTCTGGTTTTTTTTTCTGAGTAGTTTATTGGAGATAAGAGTCTCACGGACTTTTCTGCCTGGCCTGGCTTTGAACTGGGATCCTCAGGGCTTAGCTTCCTGAGTAGCTAGGATTATAGAGTGAGCCACTGGTGCCTGGTTTTTGACCCATTCTTAGACATACATCCATGTGGTCATCACACAAAACAAGATGCAGTGTCTTTCTAGAATCAGAAAATTCTCTGGGCAGTCTTTGCCAGTTAAGAAACTTGCAAAGAAGCCAGAATTCTGAGTTCTGTGACCATAGGTTATTTATTCTGGTTCTTGAACTCCATTATTTAACTGGATCAGACAGTGTATACTCTTTCATATCTCATTTCTGTCATTCAACATATGTTTGACAACCCCATATACATAACAACCATCTGGTATTTGACAAGGAGCCCAAACATATATGTTGGGAAAAATAAAACAGCCTCTTCAACAAATGTGTTGGGAAAACTGGACATTCATTCATAGACTGAAATTAG